ATTAGTAATTTACTTAAAGCTATGTGCATTTAATAAGAGAAATCTTGAAACTTACAAATATTTTGCTATAGGCCAGATGAAATAAAAGGTGCTGTCGGTTCATTAGATTAAATAAATAAATAAAAAAGGGATCATTAGTAATATATTTAAAGCTATGTGCGTTGAATTAGAGAAAACTGAAACTTACCAATACTCTTTTATAGGAAAGATGAAATAAAAGGTACTACCAGTGCATTGAATTAAATAAATAAAAAAAAAGGTATTGTAATCTGCTTAAAGCTATGTGTATTAAATTAAAGAATTCTGAAACTTACTAATACTCTTTTATAGAGAAGACGAAATAAAAGATGCTACCAGTGTGTTAAATTAAATAAATAAATAAAGAAAGGTATCGTTTGTAATATACTTAAAAGCTATATGCATTAAATTAAAGAAATCTGAAACTTACCAATACTTTGTTATAGGGAAGACGAAATAAAAAGTGTTATCAGTGTGTTAAATTAAATAAATAAATAAAAAAAGGTATCGTTTGTAATTTGCTTAAAGCTAAGTGTGTTAAATTAGAGAATTCTAAAACTTACCAATACTTTTTTATAGGGAAAACAAAATAAAGGTATTTACTACCAGTGTATTAAATTAAATTCAGAAGAATTCTTTTTTTAATTGTATACAATTTTACAATTTTACTCGAAATAGTATGTTATTAGTTTAACATTGTATATTAATTAATAAAACACAAAATCAAATACTGTAAATTGCTTGTTTATTGCATATATGCCTATTTATTACATATATAATATATTTATTTATTGCATATTTGTCAATTACAAAGCCAATTCATTAATCTAATACTGCTAAAGACTTAGTTTTGTTCTTTTTATGATCAAACCAGCTAATTAACTTGGTTGTATTGGCAATATCATCGTCATCAAGACGGATACTTCGAGATTAACATACTTTAACAAATTCCTTTCGATTTCAGTTAATTTCTTGTTCATTGAAAAGATCCTTCAGAGCAGAATTTTCAATTTTTCTTCTTCGAGATGGTGGAACATTTTCACTACTCTTTTCATTCAAATTTGACTGAAAGAAGATAATTAACAATAAAATATTTTTTATATTACTATATATTAAATTTACTTACATCTTTATGCTTATTATTTCGTATTCTTTTGGATTGACATTTTTCAATAAAATACAGAATATTCTTGTTCTCTACAATCGGGACCAATGGCTTAGCCATTTAATGGTAAGTTAATATATAATATAGACTTTATTACTTCAAATATACAATAAATAAACTATGCTTACATTATTTGATTTGGGCTGATTAAATTGAAGTTCTGAACTATCAGTATTTTGTATAATTATTGTTTCTTGATCGTGATAATCACAGATTGAAATATGTGGATTGCTTAAATTATTGTGATTGATTTGATTATCATTTAGAGTAAATGAATCAATATTCTCATTTAGTGAATGCACCATACTATTTAAATGCTGTAAAATAAATTTAAAATTATCAATTAGAAAGATATTGATTAATTTAATTTAAAAAAATATTACATATTGCACAGAATAAAGTTATACATACGACTTGTCTATTTACTTCATTTCCAGTAGTCTTTTGATCTTCTACTCCAATATTATGTCTATTATCAAATTTGTAAGGCATTATATTATTAATTATTGAAGTAGTATACCTTGTCTTCGGAAGCTCACTTGGCCTAAATGGATCATTTTCAATAATTTGCTTTTCAGTTGAAAAAAAAATAGCATCTTCCTTGGCTTTATACTGATGTAAAATCTCTGCATAAGCTTCTTTATCAAAGCCAGTATATATTATTTTATTTTTTATATTAGATGCTATTACTCGTTCCTTATTTCAAAAATATTAAATAAGTTCTCTTTTTATTTTATCAATTGAATTTTCATTTGCCTTTATAGATACATAGATACGTGCTGCATATCTATATTTACAACAATCACGAAATAATCTATGCCAAATGAAATCAAGACCTGTAATATAATTAACTAGGTAATAATCAGGAAGTATTGGAACTATGTGCTTTTTTGCAAGCTTTTTAATCATCTTAGACACTCCTTGAGCTTTGCTATCTTCAAACCTGATCTTATCTGCTGTATATGAAGATTAAAAAGTATTTTGCTTGTAATTATTTATATGCACATATAAAAAGTCTGGGTTGTCTAAAACTTCAAGAATGTTATTCTGTAATACTTTCAATTTCACCTGATTTATGTGACATACTATATCAGATTGCAATCTGCATAGCCTATTTTGGTGCTCAATAGTGCATGAATTTCTGTATATAACAAGCCCTGCACTAAAAACCAACTGACCACAATTCTCTATAAAGTTTGAGCAAGAAACCCTGATACCATAAAGACGTTCGATGAAAGTCAACACCATTTGGGTACCTGAATATCTTTCTTCAATAGTTCTATTCATCCTTTCAGTAAAATTATTAGTGGTTCACAGCTTTGCGTGAGGTCCATCTTCCTAACTAGGTAAGCATCCACCATCAATGAAACCAAGAATCTACTCTTTACAGAGCCAATTTTCCTCAAGATCATGTATAAAAAATACTTTTGCTTAGGTGGAAATTGGAAGTAAATTTATAAAATTTTTATATTCGATCGCTATTTTTTTGGTTTCGGTTACACTTCTGCATCTGCCAATAATTTTGAATGCTAATACTATCGAGTATCTGCATAAATAATATAATATATATAAATAATATTATTAATATACGTTTAATATTTTATCATAATCCAATTTTGGCATAAGATGCTACAATTAATATAAAAAATATGTAAAAGATTCATGAATACTATGCATTACTGTAAGCTCTAATCAATTTTTTGTGTTCGAAAATAATTTCTAAAAGTCTGCATTATATGAAACCAACAGAGTATTGTATCTTGAAGAATAGGCTTTAATGCAGCCTTTGTTGGTCTGTGTTTGTCCATCATTGTGAAAGGTTTCTATTCAATTGCACATGACCGTATACATTTAAAGCCTTTATTATTAGGTAGTGCAATATATTCATATGGATGGTTACAATTTATATTTTTACAAGGTATATTTGCTCTTATTGCTTCAACCGCGAGCCTTATTGTATACATATTCTCTTTGTTAGATAATGCAAATCCTATAGGTGTGCCCTAATTTCCTCTATCTTCTACTACAAGAGCATGAATAGGTGCTCAATTATTGTTTAGATTATACTTTGCATCAATGCCAAAACAAAATGAGCCATAATCTCTTGCTTGTTCAAGCTACATATTATCACTTACAGTAAGTTGATAATAGTATTCTGAAGAATTTAAAAGAAAGTTTTGATCCTCTTGTTGATAATAAAAAACAAATCTCTTTTCCTTTAATTCATTCATAACTAAACCATGTAAAATTGTCCACGGACCTATATCATAACTATATCGACTATTTCGTTCTATTAACTGTTGAATTTTTTGTTCACTACATATATTAACTCCACATTTTTCTTGTTGCTCTAATTGTTCTTTTGATGCACTATTAAATAGAGTTAATAGTTTGAGCTTCACTTCTTTAGCTGTATATCTATCTGCATGTCAACTTAAAATTACCTGATCTCTTACAGTTCTACTGAGATTTAAACATGTAATAGCTGATTTATATTGAATAGAAATATTGGTAGGAATATGCTGACCTTTGATATATAATTTAATAGAAAATCTTTCTGCAACCATACTAAGCATAACTTTGGTAGTTATGTGAACTTTGCACTTGTGCATATCATTGCCATTTTTTAAATTGGTTTTTATTTGATAATTTGAACAATTGAGTACACAATTTCCAAATCCACCACATATTCTCTAACAATTCCCATCATCTGCATAGTAAAAAACCCAATGCCAAATACAGAGATCTGGAACTAAACCTTGCCAAATTTGAATAACATAGCTCTGTCCCTTTTCTGTTAGTTCAAGTCTGTCATCCAAGCGATTTGTTGATTTTGTCATGCTATTAATTGTTGTCTAGCCTTTGAAGTTAATTGCACCTTCTTCATGTTTAAAAATAACAAGGTTTTTTTGAATCGCTTGATTTACTTTTTGTCAGCTTTGATATTTGAAACATGCATCTTTTACAATTGGTAATGATAAGATATATGTCTCAGCAGCACGTCCAAATAGTAAACCAATACTTCCATCTGTATTCATCTGATATAACGTATACATCACTATATTCAGTTATATAGTCATAGATATATACAATAATATATTTTGTCTTCCCTATAAAAGAATATTGGTAAGTTTCAGAATTCTCTAATTTAACACACATAGCTTTAAGCAGATTACAAATGATACCTTTTTTTTATTTATTTTAACATACTGGTAGCACCTTTTATTTCGTCTT